CATTTCTTCCATTTGCCTTAGCCACTCTACAATAAAGAACAATTTTCAGAGTCTCTTCTGGCATCCGCTTTGATCTCTTCTTTCCTTCCAGTCTTTTGAATGACCTTTTACTTTCTTCATTATTGATATTCCTGATTTCATACTATAATTCATTTGGTTTTCTGTTATTAGTGTTCAATGGGTCACATCTGTTCTCAAAATTCAGGTGATATATATTCATGATCATATTTTGGCTTTCCTGGACTTGTTTTAATTTTCCTCAGATTCAAACTGAGCATACATGTGAGCAATTCATTGTCATTCCACAGTTGACTCCGGCCTGGTTTAGCGTCTCAGCTTCTCCATCATCTATTCCCATAGATGTAGTTAATTTGATTTCAGTAAATTCCATTTGGAGATGACCCCATTGACAGTTACTTTTTGAGTTCTTGAAAAAGACTATTTGCTATGAAGAAATTGTTGATCTTGCAAACTTCTCTCACATGATCTCCAGCTTCATTTTTAACACATCCTTTTTAACTAAGAATGCAAATCCATTCCCCATTATTTCATTCCCAACATTGTAGGCCATATGATTTTCTGATTCAAAATGGCCAATACCAGTCCATTTCTGCTCAGCAACAACTAGAGCACTAACATTTATGCATTTCATAAGATTTTAAAGAATTTTCCAAGATGCACACTTTGCACATCCAAGTTCCCATTATTAATTATAATTCCAGCTATTTGTTTTCATTTGGAGTCATGCTCCATCAGAAAACAAAGGTGCTGAAGGCCTTAAGCCTACAGGCTTTAGTCCATCCATATCATTATGGGTGACTATACTATGAGAAGGCAGTTCTTCTTCTGTCATCTTTCAGAGTATTTGCTTCCACTCAGGAGGTTGTCCATCTCTGACACTGCTTTGATGGTATTTATTCAGTTTCCTGAGGTGAATGCCTCTGAAGTGGATGGCCAGCCTCTTCCTTCTTTGTAGTGTGTTCTTAGCCTGCAAGGTATACTGAAAAAGCAACGCAGCAACCTGTAAATCAGCACAGAGTGACAAACAAGCCGTGGGCGGGCAGATGATAGAGTACAATCTGAACAGTCAAAAGGTGTGAGCTACTGACAGTTTTTAGAACACAAATAAACATGATAATAAATGAAAAACTACAAACCCAAAATCTATATCATGTAGCCTTACATTAATATTAAATTTTAATAAAAGGAAACCTATAGACCAAAATTGGATAAGTGACCATCTAGGTAGGGGGATGGGAGAGGAAAGTACCTATAAGTTGAAATGATGTTTCTTTCTGCAGCACAGTAAATGTTCTAAAATTAGATTGTGATGAAATTTCTACATCACTATAAAAGTA